ATATTTATATATATTTATAGTCATATTTATGTGTATATATATGTATATTTATATTTATATATATTTATATTCATATTTATGTATATATATACATGTATATTTATATATATTTATATATATTTATATTCATATATATGTATGTCTTTCCAACTAAACTGTTGCCCAGAGAACAGAATTTGTCCGCAGAAGCACTCTGAGGCGATCTCTGAAGGTCAAGGAAGGGAAGAACACTAGCCCAGTCGCCATCTCCACGTCCTTCACACGCCCACTGAACTCCAAGGTATACCTCTCAGTAGTCTGGAAAAGATGTGATTATAAAGGTCTGGGTTTAATCTTATATGAGTCAGGTAGGTTTCTTGTTCAATGATCATTTAGTTCAATAACTTTTCTGCTTCTAGAACTAAAGGAAGCATAACTGTTGAACCCTGAACAGTAGTTTATTACACATAGTAACTGATATCATAAAACTGACACTTACCAGGCAATTACTGACTGACTGAGACTGTGAAAATATAAAGCTGAGAGAATCCAGCTGATCAGGCTGACACAGGTTAAGGGATTTCACGTGTTTCTTGCAACGAGTCACGATGGCAAACAGATCAGATGGGATATCAGGTGATCTGGAAAGATACTAAGGTTGTTCTTAAACTGAACTACTGAACAATTTCTATTCTCTTTCCGTTTTCCTTTTACCATACTTATTCAGGTTAGACAACTATTTGTATATTTGATATTCTGCACTAACAATAGTTTTCCTAAAATATCACTTAAAGACAACCAAAGCGGGAGCATGTTGTTCTTTATAATTTTTCTTGCTTGTAACTTTCTTATCCTCTCAACTTAAGAATTGAATAATTTTTCGTTAAGGTTTGTGTTTTATCATGATTTTTTGTATATATATTTTTTACTGCAACTGTATTTCCTGTTACTTTGTAACATTTCGAAGGATAGGCAGAACTCTAACCACTATTTGCCAGTTCCTCATTTATCCACTTCTCTTACTTTATTCTCCACTTATAAATTTCTCTTTCTCATACCTAAGCCTAGAGATGTCATCAAGCAGAGAGTCTGTGTTGTTATCAAAGACAGGTCCAAGAACGACATTGAGAGTGCCATGTGCAGAGACCCAAGCAGGAACCAGCTCCTCCAGTAAGCCCTTCCACCTTTTTGCCAAGGATGGACTCATGGCGAGGGCATTGCTCGTGAGGAAAGGCACCTCTGGAAGGCTGGCATTCCTGGAGAAGGCTGTGTAAAGAAGAGAAGAAGGGGTTTTATAATGGGAAAGTGGAAGGAATAATAATGATGATGGTGCTCTTCAGATATGTGACCTAACAGATCCTAATTTGATGGGCAGATTGCCAGATGGTATTTCAAAGATTTTTTCCATGTAATGAGAACCATAATATTTTTAATTTGGTCTTATAACAAATAAGTCTCTCTCTCTCCCTCTCCCCCTCCCTCCCTCCGTCCCTCCTTTCCTCCCTCCCTCCCTCCCTCCCTCCCTCCCTCCCTCCCTCCCTCCCTCCCTCCTCTCCTCCCTCCCTTCCCTTCCCTTCCTTCCCTCACCGGGAGGAAATAGGGGTTCCGCGGCGAAGCCCTGGCTAGTGAATTCCCTGAGTTCGGGGCAAGATGGCGCAGCCGTCGGGGCGAGGCGGACGTCGGCGGTCCAAGAAGCGCCACTTGTTCCCGGAAATCCTTCCTTCACAGTGAAGCTGGTCCACAGGGGCATCCTCAGTTTCTCGGAGTATCCTGTTGAAGAAATTTGGGAAATTCGGCTGAGAAATAAGTGACTGGAGGATATTACTTTAACTGTAGACATGCCTTTGCCGTTGCAGCGAGGGGGAGGTGGCGACCAATTTACCGTACCTGTGACGTGGTCGTGATGGAGCAAGAGCTTGAGTGACAGGGGCAAGCTGCCGGTGTGAGGGACGCCCCACGGAAGGTGGTATTCCTCCAACTCCAGCTCCTGCGTCTGTTTCAGATTGAGTGATGAAAGCCATTTCTGCAATAAGGAAACAGGAATACTTAGTAATTTCAATTTATTCTGGGATGTTAAATTATCCATAAACAAAGTTAATCGCAAGGAAGACACAGTCTAATATTGCCATTTGTAGAAATAACAAGAACGATAACCCTTGCTATTTCTGCTGAAGACAAGGTCAACACTACCACTGCTGAAGACAAGGTCAACACTACCACCGCGATCTCCGGCCTTACCTGCGCGGCGGCAGAGTCGCCCTCGCACCGGGACGCAACGAGGCGGTCGTTGACGTCACCCGCGGGAAGGAACGCGCTCGGGGGCTTAACCTCCTGCAGGCCAATTGTCACAAATAATAATCAAGACAAACAAAAGAGAAAAGTGAAGCAAATAAACGGATTACGATGAACGAAAAAGTGGCTAGTGGTTACAAGTTTGTGACCCTAAAACATGCGAAGGGAAATTGAATTGAATTCATCTTGACTTATTCAAGAGTATGGCTTCACCTGTTGTAGTTGTTGCGTGGGCGGCGGCTGGGCAAGGGCGTGGTTGAGGGCGCCCCATGTGCCGTTATTTTCTGCAGGCTCCACGCCCGTCAGCTGACACATGAGGTTGTAGAGCTCAATGTTCTGGAAGGGCTCGATCTCCAGACCCTGTTGCAAATCCGGGCCGTAAGCCACGAAGAGCGCCTATAGCAGAAGAGGGGAGTTAGAAAATGGATAGCAACCCAGTGAACCGCAGGGAAGGATACACACGCACAAAAAAATCAGAAACAAAGATAGCAAATGCACATGGAAAAAACAAGAACAAGGATAAGCAAAGATAACTATTGTGCTTCTATTTACAAACTTAAACCTAGATTATTTCCATATGTACGCATAATCTGACATGATCCATCACAAAGCACTTGACTTGTAATTCCGTATGTAGAAGATGATTGTCCTTCTTCCCTTGAAATAATGCACTCAGCCGAAAAGGCTCCTGATTCTTACCCTCATTTCCTTGAAGTAATTATCATAGCCATGGTTTCCCCCGATGGACCAAGAGCTGTTTGTCGTAACGATTTTTCCGGCGTCGAGGTTTACGATGACGTCTGAGATCCTGCGGTTGTTACTGAAATGGAACCTCTTGGGCAGGTCGGCCGGACTATACACGCGCATGTCCGGCCTCTTGCAAGACAAGTTGCTCATGATCTCGTCTCTCATTTCTGATATTAGCAAGAGAAAGATCGTTTCTCTGAATGTAATGTATGTAGCAGGCGATTCTGTGATGTAGAATTTTAGTCTGATTCCTTAAGATTATCAGAAATACTAATGGAATTTATGTTTTGAAAAGTCATACTGTTAAAACAACTCAGTACTATTTTTAATGATTACTAAAAGTCTAATCCTAAAAGCCTCAAAGAAGATACAAGTCTATTCTCGTACGATCATTTAAGACATTTCTAATCAAAAAGAAATTCACAGTTCAGAAAAGCTCTTGTTGAATGCTAAGATCGTACCATCATTGTCATCCTTCAGGCTGAACATGCCGACGGCGCCGAAGTAGGCGAGTGCCACGTCTTCCAGTTCGGGAACGTACTCCTGCAGGAGAATGACCCGGTCCTTCCCTGCCGCTGCCATCCCATGGTCTGACAGTACGATCATGTTCACGCAATGGAGCAGATTTCTTTCGGAAAGCCCTTGCACCAGCTGAACCATCTGTTCCTCCGCCTGCAGCAGCTGTTGGTTAGTCTGCAATATGTATTGGAAGTTACAATGATGTTTGTGAAGCTGTTTCATTGCACTGCATTTCATGTGCACGTGCTGTAACAGTAAGGTCATATCCCTATTTAGAATGGGTCCATTGCCATCGTCGTCCCTTTTGGATTGCCGTATTTTCGCCTACATTATTGAAACGATTCTTATTGTCATTCCTCTGGGTACCTTGACGAAGGTCAGTTTACAAGTGTCAGAATAGAATCTAATATAAATAACAGTTCCTAATCGAAGTTTATATTTATTTACCTAAATGTACTTGTAATAACTTAAAAATGAAGTAATTTTTTTTTATTGAGAATGCAGCTAAATGTGCGAGCACTGTCTTATTTAAACTTGATGAGCACCTGTTTTTTATTTTTTGTTTTGATGTTACTTTACAATAGTGATACTAATGGTCAAACGTACAAGTGCTTAGTGTATAGATATCAAATACCCAAATGTGTAATTCTTTCTGAAACAATTTCACTTATCTAGCTAACTGCAATATTCAGTATTTCATTTTTCCATATTACGAAATTTAGTGTATAGATCTCAAAGTTTCTGAGATGTGTGTGTGTGTGTGTGTGTGTGTGTGTGTGTGTGTGTGTGTGTGTGTGTGTGTGTGTGTGTGTGTGTGTGTGTGTGTGTGTGTGTGTGTATACGTATTATATGTATGCAGAAATTTTAGAAATAATTACCATATATGTATATATATTTTTTTTACAGAGTTGTTAGCCTTTGTCGGCGCGCCAAGTCTAACGCTTAGAGTAGTCGTTTGATGCTGCTCTTACACTTCTTGCTGCAATAACATTATCCGGGTATTGGATATGGCATTAATATATATGATCATAATGTTCACTTGTTTGACAACACCATTAAGAATATCATTCTGGCACTTAGTTTACATGGTCTTATTCTTTCTTTGTTTTTTTTTTCAACAAACTTTAATTATTTGATAAAGTGATATACCGTAGAGAGATTCGATATTCGACCACAAGGTTGAAAACAAAAATAAAGTGTCAGTGTCAGTACAGACCCATGCATATTATATCCCGAAACAAAACAATTTCCAGTCTGACTGTCTCCGATCGGATGCAGAACTTAAATCGCTGCAACTTTTGATTTCCATAATTTTGGAAAACGTGATAATCACCTGAATCGGATGCGGAAATTGCGGAATAGTGATTGCGAATTTCCGCTACGGTTGCAAATATCAAGTAGAAGTGTGACCAGGCTTTACAAATTTGCGGCGTATCAATCGATCATCAGAAAATTATTTCATAGCGTTACAAATTGTTGGGGTATAATGCTTTACATCATCATTATTTTACAGTTGATACATAATAGTTACATGGTATGAAATCCTGCTTGTAAGCCTCGTGACCTCGTACTAATAATATATAAGCACGGTGCAGCGCGTAGTTTGGCGACCTTTTTCTGATCAATCGCGCTCGCGTTGAAAAGGTGTCAATGGATATGGTATTGCCATTGTCCGATCCATCTTGCAACCATCGATACGAAGGCCAAGGCGATGATTAATCCTAAAGTACTGTACAATCACAGTTTACTTAGGCACTGATTTATTCCCCATGCAGCATAAAAGCAGGACTCTCAGTAAGAAAACAATTAGTACTTGGACTTTAAGTTTTCAGTGATGGAATTATTGATTAAATATCTGTTTAGATAATGAATAAGGCGCAAATATATATCTGCCTATTTATCTATCGTCATCATCATCATCACTATTATTATAGTCATCACTATTTTTATTATTAATACTATTAGTATTCTACTACTACCACTATTGCTATTATTATTATTATTACTACTACTATAATAATAATAATAATAACAACAACAATAATCATGATTATTATTTTCAACATTATTATTATCATTATTATTATTATCATTATTATTATTATTATTATTATTATTGTTGTTATTATTATTATTATTATTACTATCATTATTATTACCATTATCATAATTATAATTATTATTATCATTATTATCAATATCATTGTAATTATTATCATTATTATTATCCGTATTATTACTATTATGATTATCAATATCATACATAAATGTGTATACATATACAGATTATATATATGTATGCATATGCATTATGTATAATATATATATATATATATATATATATATATATATATATATATATATATATATATATACATTTTATATTTTTACACACATACATATGCATATGTATACACATATATGTATGATAATCATAATAGTAATAATAATGATAATAATAATAATACTGATCATGATAATAATGTTAATAATAATGATAATAATAATAATAGTAGAAATAATGAATGAAGAAATAAATCAATATATAGATAAATAGGTAAATGAATAAATATATATACATATGTACACACACACACACACACACACACACACACACACACACACACACACACACACACACACACACACACACACACCACACACACACACCACACACACACACACCACACACACACACACCACACACACACACACCACACACACACACACACCACACACACACACACACACATTATATATATGAATATATATAAATATATGTGTAAATATGTATATATATATCTATATCCATCTCTATATTGCGTTTTTGTTTCTAGGCTTGGCCCCAAATTTCGTTATTTCGTCACGCCATCTTGTCATTTGTCTTCCCTTGGCCTCTTTATGTTGTCTACAGCACAGTCTGCTGCTTTCTCTGTCCATCTGTCGTCCTGTCTACGACATATATGACCTGCCCATTGTCAATTTTTCTTTTTGATGCTCAAAAGTATATCTTCCACTTTTGTCTGTTCTCTGATTCTTTCTATACATATTGGCAAGAGCCTCTTGGTATGCTACTGTGTCTGCCGAAGGCGCTCCAGCCTAGGCTGATGCGTCGCTTAATTTCCTCTTTGCTAGATGTGTTCGTCTGTACGAGTTGCCCTAGATATATATACTTGTCTACTACCTCTATCGCTTCGCCTTGTACTTGTATCTGTTCAAATTGAACTCTACTGTTGAATATGATCTTAGGTTTTTTGTTGTTCATACTAAGTCCGACTTTCAGACTTTTTCTATTCAGATCGTTTATTAGTAGCTACATTTAATTTGCAGATTCACTGAAGAGAACAATATCATCTGCAAATCTTAGATTGGTTAGGTATTCGTCGCCTATTTTAATTCCCTTTGCATTCCATTCTAGCTTCTTGAATATTTCCTCAAGGCAAGCTGTAAACAGTTTTGGTGTGATGGTATCGCCCTGTCTAACACTTTTTTTAATTGGTATTTTATCGGATTCCGTGTGGAGCTTGATGGTTGCTGTCACCATCTTTGTATATATCTTCCAATATTTTAAAGTATACCTCCTCTTCTCTTTGTCTTAGAATAGCTTCTGCTGGTATTCGTGCTGAGTCAAATGCCTTTTCGTAATCGATGAATGCCATACTCAAGTGTTTATTATATTTGTTTTTTTTTTCTCTTCTTTGGGTGAGCATGTGGATGTAGTCTGTTGTTGAGAATCTAATGCGGAAGCCTGCCTGTTCTCTAGGCTGGTTAGAATCCAGACTGTCAGAGATGCGAGTTATGATGACTTAGGTAAACAGTTTATAGGTAACTGAAAAGAGGCTTATGGGTTGGTATTTTTTATTTAGATCGTATCTATCCCCCTTTTATGTATCAAAATAATTATTGCATTTTTCCAGGCTCTTGGACTTTTCCCTTTGAGAAGGCATTCGTTCAAAAGATTGCTAGTTTCACTGTTGCAATTTTTCCTGCATCTATTATAAGGTCTATACTAATTCTGTCTTCAACTAGTGTTTTCCCTTCCTTCATGCATTTAAGCGCTCTCTATATTTCTTCTGTTGTGATGTTAGCTACGTCTCTAGTTACCGCGTTCGCTTCTGTCCGTGGTTATTCAGTTGAGTTGTATAGATCCCTGTAAAAGTCTTCCACTAGTCTCATGATTTCATTCTTATTATATGTCACTTTTCCGTCTGGTTTCTTTATAGCATACATTTGATTTCTCCCTATTCTGAATTTCCTTTTAGCTGTTTTCATGCTGGTGCCTGAGATCACTTTCATTTATTATTTGAGTATTGAGTATTTATAGTTTTTGTTAGTTCAGCTAATTATACCTTATCCCTGTTTGACAATACTTTCATGACCCTACTTTTTTGCATAAGCTCTTTAGTTTCTACTGAGAACTTGGGGTTCTTACTCCCTAACTGCCAAGTGAAGCTTCCTTTATTATGTCATTGAACTGAGAAGAGAAGTGAATATCTGTTTTGGATGTTAATGCTAAATTCGGTCGCTCTGGTCTTCAAATTAGCAAAATTTGGCTGCGGTTTTCATATGAGTTTGTTCCTTTACCTTCTAATTTAATTTGGCCTCTGACCATTCTATGGTCGCTGCCAACATTTACTTTGTTAATAACTTCCACATTTCCATGTCCACTTCTTCCCCCAATCCCTTGCCCGTTGTTGTCGTGGGGGGCTTAGGAGGCGGAGACTGGGACCCAATGATGGGGAACTCCCCAACCTTGGGACTCAGCCCTCGACTCAACTAATTTTGCATGGTCTTTTTTTCCCTTCCTACTTTTTCGTTTTTGTCACACCAATCCCTTCTACTATCCACCTCCTAAGGTGTGAGAGCCGTGCTGAAAGGATGAAAGGCTGACTTTGTGCCAATCCTGAACGGCCTGAGGGAGCCTATATAGGCACGGTATTCCCCTGATTTATTTACCTAGCCCTTACCCCTCAAGGGGACCCTGAGAGGTGGACTGTTTTTATCCCCAACATAATCCAGGCTTACCATGGCCAATCATGAAAACGCAACTCCTCTATTAGGGGCATTGAGGTTTGGCTCTCCTTTGACCACAGCTCCGAACACTGCAACAACTACCCCCTCATCAATGCCTACTAATACAGTAGTCAACAATCAACCCCAAGAGACATTTCTACTTTCCCAACATGCTCAACTTCAACACCTCTACCCCCACAACCTTCAATATCAAGTATCCCATCCTCCCTTATTAATACCTTACAGCCTTATTGCCCACCTCTCCAAAACACTACCTCCCTCGACACTACTCCCTCTTCGTCACACCCCCGCCCTTCTACTACCCCTATCTCTACAACAATCTTAAATACGATATTTAGCGCAGCCAAATGGGACCGATTTTTCGTGATCCCTCCCACAGCTCCCTACTCTGACAACACCCTTTTCTTCCAACAATGTCTCCAAAAATAAGTAGGCAAAGTCTCTGTCCGTAGCCGACCCGACCGTTCCCGTCTCGTCACAGAACTCTCTGAATCCCAAGCTATAGCATTAACAAAACTATATGGTAACCCCATCCTTGCAGAACCCCATCCAACCCTCAATACTTGCACCGGAACTGTTTCAATCTCCCCAGCAAATTGCCCAATCTATGACAAAGATTGGTCAGATTGTGGAGAAGACTTATTCGCCTGTCTCACAGACTATGATACGACATCACTACAATGCTACTCCATTCCCCCCAGAGGTCATCGAAAGAAACCCACTAACATAGCCAAAATTACCTTCCGTAGACATGACCTTCCCTTTAACGTTTACATAGGTGGAAAATCCCTCCCTGTTCGTCCATACCAACTTCCTCCACGTCAGTGCCAAAATTGTTGGCGTCTAGGACACCCAGCTAAACATTGCCGTTCCACAGCCAGATGCCCACTATGTGCCCAACCTGGCCATACTCGATCAAACTGCTCTGCACAATCACGCACATGTGCCATAATGTGTTTTATAGGGGCTGTCCCACCTACAAATTTGAGTCTGATGTAGCAACTCTCAGATTCAAACTTGGACTCACACTGCGTAAAGCCAGACAGGAAGCACGTCGACGTGGTTTCTCTCTTACTCCTTACTCCAGTAATAATGCTCATTCTACCACTTCTCCTAAACCCACCCCCCCTCCATCTAACTCCCCCACTTCTACCGCCTACCTTCCCCAGTCAAAATCTTTTGCCATCCTAAATCCAGACACTCCAATCTCTACTACAGACACTCCAGTCTCCACTACAACCCCAACACCTTCCCCTCTCCCTCCTCGCACTACCCGTAACAGACAAAACAAACGTTCCACCCCCTCTTCCCCTACCACACAATCACAATCACCTCCACCTTCCTTTGTCCCTACTCTTAAGACACCAGTCCTCTCTTCCCCCCCTCACAAGAAATCCTTTATCTCCCAAAACTCCCCAACCAACTCCATGGAAGAAACTATTGAAAATATTCAAAACTACTTAATGAAAACTGACACTCATCAACCTTCAAATCCTACAACTCCTGCTCCCTCCACACTCCAAATGACTGCCGATATCCATCCTCTTCCTAACGATATCCGCCCTACACCCTATCCTCCTACCCCCTCCCAACACAGCCCATCCCCCCCGACTCCAACCCCACCCACATTAACCCTCCCACCATCCCCTCTATCCCTTCCACTCCCTCCTGGATACACACGTGAATCCCTTATATCACAAGTATTCCCTTCCACACCCGTCTAACACACCCCTATCTGATGTCACAATCCGATCCACCTCTATGCTCCTTATGTAATGTTCCTCTTTCAGTCCCACACATTCTATTATAATGCACACGTTTTGAAGCAGCCTGTTGCTCTGCTTCCCCCCCACCTATCCTCCCTTCACCGACCTCCCAACCTATTCTGCTTCGACAACCTGTTTTCCTCTCAAACGCATAAATATCCCTCACTTAATCTAACCCTTTACATTACCTCACCCGACCTTAACCCATTCACTCACCAATTCCTCTGCCGAGCTTTGACAACTAATCACTAACTTAACCACCCATTACTAACATTTACTATAGTGCTACATGACCTTAGATGTCTAGCACATTTATCTTGCTTTTAACCATTAACGATGTCCAATTCTCTTTTTTTTTTTTTAAGAATGTGTTAATGATACTGAGTGATCGAGCCTCCGCAAAATCAACTGGCATTTGTCCCCTGTCATTCCTAGTGCCTATTCCATGATTCCCCACTACTGTTTCTCCTGTCTTTTTCCCTATTTTGGCATTAAAATCTCCCATAATTGTGATTTTTTTTTCTTTTTTTTTTGCCTTCTCGCTGGCTAAATGAACATCTTCATAGAAGCTCTCTATCTCTTTATCACTGTGGTTGCAAGTTGGAGCATAGACTTGAACAGTTTTTAAGTTTTAAGTATCTATTGTTTGGTTTTATTGTTACTGAAGCCACTCTTTCGCTTATACTATAGAATTCCACAATATTTTCTAAACGTTTGTGAACTAAGAAACCTACCCCTAATTCCTGCTTCTTACCTTAGGGTTTACCTCTCCAATAAAGTACATGTCTATCATTTAGTATTTTCTGTTCTTCGCCTAGCCTATTAACTTCACAGTCCTACAACATCCCATTTAAGGAAAGAGAGTTCCTCAAGTAATGCTAGTAGGTCGGATTCAGTTCTCACAGTCCTTATATTGTATGTGTAAAGGTTCATCAACGTGGGGCGGCCTGTTCTTAGCCGGGGATTCTTAGCACCCTCTGCTCTGGAGCGATCCTGATGCAGTCATGGTTTTTGATTGAGAGGTAGACAGCCGAGTTACCCCCCCCCCCCCCACCTACTGGCTAAGGAATACGTGCCCCTCGGCCGCGGGGTCGTCGTCTGGCACTCGATTGAGGTGCCATCGCTTGAATTACACTTTTAATGCATATTTTACCTGATGGATCTTATGTCGAATTGCTGTTTATACTTGTCACTTTATGTAACCATATTTAAACATGCCTGATTTTGTGATGTACTGTACTTACATACTGGCGGTTTGGCTGTTCCATAGCGAATCTACTTGAGATAAAAACTATGATGTCTGTGTGATTTTTCACTGTTACTTGGCGTCCTGTGATTATGCTTGTCATTTTCTAATGACTTCGTAATTTGGTATTCTTGTCCTGGTGTGGGGGGTGATTATTATTATTTTTTTTACCGCTGTTTCTATCTGATGATGAGCAGTGGGACCTTATGAATTTATTTAGCATGGTAATGAAATCTAGTATTCCTAGTTGGCACTTTCTGGCATTCCTTTTAGTTTAAAATTTCCACATATTCATGGTCCAACATTTGGATGAATTATAATTTCTATTTTGGTTGGAATATAAGCTTATGTAGCACTATGACAGATCACTCGTAATTTTTAGCACTTATTCTCACTAACTTAACCACGACACCTCTCTTACTCATTGCCAGATACTACGCATACACATACATATACATATATATACATATGATTTTCATATATATGTATATATTTGCTTATAGATACATATATACATATATATGTTTATGTATATATAAATATATACATAAATATATATATATATATATATATATATATATATATATATATATATATATATATATATATATATATATATATGTATGTGTATATATATATATATATATATATATATATATATATATATATATATATATATATGTATATATATATATATATATATATATATATATATACATATATATATATATATAATATATATATATATATATATATATATATATATATATATATATATATATATATATATATGTATGTATATATATATATATATATATATATATATATATATATATATATATATATATATATATATATATATATATATATGTATATAAACACACATATATATGTGTCCTGCAATGGACTGAATGGCC